GCAGGTGATGGAAGTTTTTGTATTTGCTCTTGTGACTGTTAACAGATGAATAAATGCTGACAAAAAAAATATTGAGATGAGCAGTCTGCGACGTGTTGGAGATGAAAAACTGTAATGCGGATAGAAATATGTTACAGTACAATACAAAACTGTACAGTACTGAGCAACAGAGACATGATTTCCCTTATTCAATGTCCTTTTGAGCGAATGCTATCTCAGAGACATGAAGAATGCAATAACGTAGTGACTGTGTGTGCACTGTGCAGTCAAGAAGTAACTTTATAGCTTGTCGCTGACAGGTTGACATGATGATTCTATCTGTTATAAAGCTTTGACTGGCATTGTTCGGTGACGGAGCTCTACTGTACTTGTTAGGGGAGAGATTGAATGCCATGCATCTTTACTAGTGTGCAGTAATGTTGTGTAGGAATATGTGGGTGGTGGGAAGGGGTCCAGTGTGCCGCAGTGTGGGAGGTTGGGAAAGAAACAGATTCACGATGCGCGGGTACAGGGGCAGTGCAGTGCTGCTGTGCCATCAATTCAAAGTACAGCACAGTGATGTACGGTACAGTACATTACTGTTCTCGAAAGCTCATCAGCTGAGAGTGGGCAACTAGTGTGCAAGTTGCCGCACGTGTTTGAGGGCGTGAACTTTCGGAGCTAGAAATGGAGACAAGGCCACGTAGTGTACAAATCGAGACTCGAAGACTTGTGCGGGTGAGGAGCGGCTTGAGTGTCGAGAGAGGAACAACTTGCTCCATACACCGCAACTGAGAGGGGTGCAGTCCACAAAACATGTACAGTTTCAAGGATACTGTACTGCAGCGCAGTACAATATGAGCTGATTGTGTCGCGGATATCGAGGTGGTGAAGGTTTTGGAGTGAAACAAGGAACGAGACAAGGAACGAGACAAGGAGCGAGAGTGGGGATGGAATAATTCACGCGCGAGCGGTTGTCCGTAGATGCCCTGTGTAGCGTCGTGCGCTGTGGTTGGTTCTACAATATGGCAACGGTTGATGATTGTGTTTGTAATTGGGGTGTGCGGTGTGGAGGTTGTGGTGTGGAGGTTGTGGTGTGGAGGTTGTGGGACGAGAAGGTGACGTATTATGATGAAAAGGGTGGATAGGTTGCTGCGTTTTCCGCCGTTCACAAACGATGATGCCGTTGACTATGTAGTTGGAACAGATTCGCAAGTCTTGCGACCTCAAGTCTTAGCCTGAGTCCTGTTCGAGCTCCACGGGGCAAGAGGAGAGGGGATACCGACGAGGTAGCGCCATATGATTTCACCGTCTGATTTTTTATCAAATTTCAATATATTTCTATGAGATTCAGTTACGGACAATTCAGTTTTTAACAGGAATCGTCGTTACGTTTCATCACTTTTCGCTGCCACAATAATTCACTTGTACTGTACAGCTTCGATCTCCGTCTCCGTCACATTGCAGCAAGGCGAGCCGCCCTGCCTAAACGCCTGCCAGCATGGTTTTTCTTCTGGAGCACTGCAAAGTTTCATTGGCCGCCTCTGCTTTGCATCCAGTCCCCCCCCTCATTTTGCTTCGAATCATCCAGATTTCCAGTCAAAACAAATTAAATGGTCATTTCTTCTCACCTTTACCTTCTGAATATTCCAGAAAACACTTTCCTTGCATCCGCCTTATTTTCTCGTTTACACGTTCTTTTCGCCCTGGTGTTGAGCGATATTTGTTTTTGTGGCTCCCTTGTCAACATCGCCAGACCCACAACCACAACTTTTATTGCAAGCCCGTTTCCAGTGCAATGAATGACTCTTGCAAGCCTCGCGCATCCTTCAATGCTTGCAACCGACTCGCCCCAGCACCACTAACATTGTTGCTCTTGCCTGTTTCTATACAACTCACTTTGCTGTACGGTACTATATATCAGAATCGCGTATCTGGCATGGAAAACCGGCCCCAACTCCCCACACGGAGATTCCGCGCTACCCAATCTTGTGAACACTCTAAGGCCTCCTCTTTTTTGCCAAACGTGCGTACATATTTGAAGGCTATACGGGCCTGTTCCCTTTTGCGATATCGCCGAAAAAATTACTGCTCCAAAAATGGACCCTGTTGTGCTGCACTTACGCCAGCATTGTTCTCAGCCAATGGAGAAAAGACAGAAAAATCTGCTCGTTTGTCACACAAAACACAAAAAACCTGCCAAGACTCGAGAGTCTTTTTGACAAATCAACAAAGTCTCTTGACTGCTGCTGGTTGCCCACTTCTGCTTTTACTGTACTTTGAACCATTCCCGCCTATCCTACAAGACATGAATTTGCTTTCCCATCGCCCAAGGTTGCTGTGCTGTACGGGACAGTATCATGCGCGAGCACATGACCGCAATCACGCAGACAATCAGAAGGCTTATTTTCTCGTCTCAAAAGTCCCTCGCTATCGTTGAACACCATCTTGTCTCATCATTGCTCGTTTCATGCTTCCCCTGTACAAGTACCATCCACTCTGTTGATTGACAGTCTGTTGATCGACACTTCGCCGTTTTCTTTGAGTGTTTCATGTAGTGCAGTATACAGTGCAATGCGGTACAGTGCAGTGCGGTACAGTGCAATGCGGTACAGTATTATATGTCCGTAATCTCCCAATGGCACAGCACTGTGGGAGTCCGGCGTCGCCAAGCTCGCCGTTCGCAAACAATTCCGCTCCTCAATCAGGGAAGGGAAGGAGGAAACCTCGAGTATTGACCAGTGTACAGTGAAGTTTTACCGTATCGCATACTGTGATACCATTGCACTGCACTTTTCCGTACAATACGAAATCCTACCTGTAATGTGCTTCAATTTGTCCATCGTCTTTAATCTCGCTCTTGTACCGCGTTTTCGTATCTCGCCATTACTCTGCAACTTCTCAAGTCCCAAACAAAACTTTGTTTACATGTTCCCCCACCATTCCAAGGGACAGGCCTTCTTTCTTGTTCTTGGTACCCTTCGAAGGGTAGGTCACCAAGTTTCTTAAATTTCTGAAGCCACCGGTGCGACAGCAAAGGGATCAGCACATACCGAATACTCGATTTTCACAATTATTGATGCAAGTCATACCAAAACGATGTTGACCAGGTTGTTGATTGTGTCTTTTTATATGTCGGGTCCGCAAATATGACAACGTTCGTGCAGGCATCATCCGCGTCCTGACCCCCTATATCCCTGAGCACAGGTGGTTTCCAAGCCTTCACTCTGTATCTGTGATACTGTACACTCAACATGACTGTTTTGCTTGAAACACTTGGACCCTAATACCTACAAATCTCGAGATGACTTCTCCCAATTTGACGCCTTATAAATTGCATCAGGCGGCTCTCATGATTCTCCTGTCATAGATTTCATACGGACGTGCTGGGCGAGCAGAAATACGCAAGTTGAGCGTTTTGGGGTGAGAAACCCTTGTGTGTTTACACGAGGAGGATTATACTGTAGTCTGTCCAATTCCTCTGCGCATGCTGTACACAGTTTCTGGCGGCAACAGGGTAGGAATAAGGCACTGATATTTCGGGGATTGCCCCCATTGCTTTAGAGGTAATGGAGGGAGAAAATTCGAACATGGGACCGTGACGCCAAATGAGACAGGATCAAACTGTACGGACACGGTACTTGTATGTGATTTGTGCATTGACCAGTAACCCCTCGAAGGGTAAATTTACCAGGACTTGTCCATTTGGACGCAGAGACCGGAGACCCCCTGCGAGTGACCACAAAGATTGTCAGAGCGTCTCGCAGTTGATCACAACGGCACATAAATTGTACAGCACTGTACTGCACTCCGCAACCTACGGTATGTACAGTATTGTCACATACTCACTGTACCCTGGTACTGTTTTGCTCTATCACGCCTCCCTCCTCACAGCTTCCCTCCTCGCAGCTTTAGGACAGCTAGCCGGCTCAGGCGGTTCGCCGTGTTTTTTATCTTATTTTTTGCAACACAACAGAGTTCACCGACTCTCAATGATCGCAGGAGCAACCGTCCCGGAAACGGTACAGTATAGCGTTGCACCTAACAAACAGATAGGAGCGCGCTCATCAGTCTCGTCTGAGAGCGCGAATTATTCATTCAGGTCCCCGACCTCTCAAGTTTCTTTTGATATTGCCATCCCTTATGATGGTGACTATTGCATCGTCTTACACAGGTAAGCTATCTGTATGAGTGCGACGCAGTTGCAGTTTCCTGTACGGCCTGCTGCCCTGAGACCCTATTCGTCCGCTCTAGGTCCTCAGTTCTTCGCGTAACATTTCTCTCCTTGCATGTTGTTTGTGTCACAAGCAACTCCGGAAGGGCATGCCCCCCACAACTCTCAACCCTGCATTATATACCGTATATCACTCTCACCATGCCGCTTGCACACTCTTTTCCTCCGTCTGGTACAGTACAGTACCCTTGGGTACAGTATATCTCTTCTGCTTCGCTTTCAAGTCCAAGATGACGGTTGTGAATCTAAATTTATTATTAGTGGTTCCTAGAGCTTGTGTGCAATAAACAATCCTTTTCGCAGCTTGAAGTCCACCCTCGCATTCAAAACACAGCAGAGTATGACGATGTTCCCCTTTTACTCAGTCTAGAAGCACATGTTGCATGTGCCCATGTGCCTATGGAAAGAGAGTGCACACCACCTCCTGCCCCAGCTTAAATCATCCTGTCACGGATATGTCTTTGACCTCAGCTATGTTTTTTCCTCTGCTCTCACTGTCACTCACAAGAACAATACTCATACATTTCGCAGATATCCCACTGCCTTCGATTTTACATATCTCTACGCGTATGCTGATGCCCGCCCCTTTACCCTTGTGCATGACCGGAAATTTTTTTTTCCCCGGATACAGGTCTGCAGAAACATTCTCTGGTCGACAGACACTGCTTAACGGCTCCTTCTGATAGAAAAGGCAACGACCTGGTCCACCTCTCGAACTTTAACAGCGTTGATTTTCCATCTTCTCTTGCGACGTATTTGAAGATTCCCGACATACATCCACGACGTCATGAAGCGAGTGAGGACTGTGGAGCCATCATATCCGAAGGTATGGAACTACGCACCGAGCATGCCATTCGAGCGCCAACACAGACAAGACGAACACTGGAGCAGGACGATGGACAAAGGCGGATACGTCCCTCGTGAACCGGCCTTCGACGGCTTAATCGACAATACGATCGCATGCTTTCAAGCAAACGCAGATCTATCACCAATGCGTCGGCCATGTAAGTACGAGCCGGTCCTTAGCCCCATTCACATTTCAAAAGACATGGAGTCGCTTCAATATGCCGGCGTAGACAACATTCCCCGCCACGATTCTTGTGGGACTCCGCTGTTGACTACATCATACAACACGTTTGAAGATTTGTCGACATCGGCTGTGTCACAGCAATCGTCTCAGCAGTCGCCGGAGAGAGAATCATTCAACAAGGTTGGTGCGGAAATCGACGAAATTCTTTCACCCATCTCTGACTGCACCATGAAACCACACCTTTCGGCTGGGAGCGGGATCCAGAACATCGGTGGCCTGCTACCTGTTCCGACATGTGCGGGGACGGAAATTTGCACCCGACGAGAGGGTATCCTACATCCCTCTTTCGCTACCGGGAAAGGAAGGGCCATGCAAGAAATTTTACAGGCTATGGCAACACCCTCGCCAACTGCGTCGCCGCATCCATCACCGAATGCGTCGCCGAGTGTATCTTCAAGCGGAAGGCGGTCGGCTTCATCGTCCTCAACTCAGTGCCATTTGTGTGGAAAGACGTATACAGAATCGAGCAATTTGTCCAAGCATATTCGGACCGTGCACCTGAAGTTGCGTCCTTTCCGATGCGATAGATGCACGTCGAGTTTCGCGGAGAAGAACAAGCTCCGCAAGCACATTCAGTCGGTGCATGAACACGCTCGCCCTTACAAATGTGAATTGTGTGATGCGACGTTCTCACAAGCGAGCGACCGAAAGAGACATCGGCTGGTATTGCACGAAGGGAGAAGGCCGTTTGCTTGTGAAACGTGTGGTAAAGCGTTCGGGAGACGAAGTAGCCTAACACAACATTATCATCGGGTACACAAGCGAGTGAAACCGCAGGTGGTGGGGCACTTGTCGGCCACTTCAAGAAGGACATGATTCGAGCTCTGATGTGACAGAGTTGCCCTTGATAGCAAAACTAGCAGGCTTTTGCTGTTCCTCCTGGTGATGGAGCTGGATTTTCTAGTCGTGGCTTTTGTGCGCATGTGCAGTGCATATGAGTGAACGGAAGTTGTAGACTGCATGTGTGTGTGCTCATCAGCGAGGTGCGCTACTTCAATAGTTTTCGATATTGACCCTGCCTAGTCGACTACATAAAAAAACGAGACGGCGACGGATCACTAAGTCCGTTGTAGCACTCCCTGTCGGGCAAATACATTGTCCCCATTGGTGTTCTTTCGATGCTTTTGTAGAGGCGGACCCTTCCGTAGGGTACGAAGTGAAAGAGAAGGGAGTTGCGACGGATTGTGAGCTGGGCTGAAGGCTGGTAGGGCAAGACTACGCGAAAGTACATTTTCCTTGAGGCACTGCTGGGATGCTTGCGGGGGTTTGCTACAGTAGTATGTACAGTACCCAAGGGTACAGTATTGGCATTCCGGAGAAGTGATGACGACTCCATTGTTGGATACTTCTAGTAGGCCAACGCGGCTCATCTGAGGACTTTAAGATGCTTCTTCAGATGCTTTGTGGGATGCCAAGTACAAAGTACAGTACAGGGGGTCCCACGATATAGTGCCATACCAGAACAGACCTCGACATATGGCACTATTTCGTGGGTGGCACTATACAGAAGCCGCATTTTCCTACAAATTGGGAATGTTAGAAAGACATATCATTGATTGCTTTAAAACAAATATACGTGTAAACGTGTAACCAGTATGATAACCCGTGACAGAGCTCTAACTATAGCACTATACTACTGTATATCGAGGGAGGCACTAACTTACTCCAAGTAGCACTATTGCGCGGTATATTATATAGTGCGGAATATTATAAAGAGGCGAACAAGTGCCTGGATGGGAAGGGCCCTTGAAAGATCAAGAAAGACCCGCAGCGCACCTTTATCCAATTAAATATATATGCGAAATATCTCTGCAATATTCCTCTCTGCAATCGCCGTGCAACTGGTGAGGATGGGGCACAACTGGAGCACAACGCCCCAGCTCTGTAAGCCACATGTGTCAACGTGTACAACACGTGTACTATCATATTTATCACTCGGGTCGTGAAGAAATGTACTGTACCCTTGGTACTGTACTTGTCCACCTGCGGCGCGAAGAAGTTGGCATTCTGCCAAATTTCCTCATCATCATTCCTGTTCCTTGTCTTGCCCCGTGAGAAACTGGAATCCAGTCCAAACAAATCCCTCACTCTCGGTCCAGTGAGCTCACGGCTGGTGGCAATGAGCAAGCTGTAATATCCCGATACCGTGGCGGGATCTTTTTCTGTCCAGCCTTCTTCAAACCACGGAATTGAAACTGCTCGAATCGCATCATTATTCGCTCTTGAGATCATGTCGCCCGGCGCAACCGACCCGGTGTCCGTAGCGGTCCAGGTAACGATGGGAGCGCCCTCATTTGTTCCAGGATCTCTTGTTTCGGCAACTGTGACTTTACGCGCGGATCGCTCGCAAATCAATTCTTCGTCAAACTTTGGCAGCACAAGAATGCATCAAGATCGCCCGTACTTCTCCAGTCCACAAACATCAAAACGCAGCAACCCTGTGCCTTCCTCTGCGTCTCTTGCGGGATTTGGCATGGAGTCTTCTGCGCGAGCCGATTTTGTCGTTTGTGAGGTCTCCGGCCGATGGAGTTCAGACAGGTCTTGGGTGAAGCCGTATGCACATAGACCTCCAAGCAACGGCACACTTGACAACCATACAAGTGAACCCGTTGCTGAGCACGCCCACTCTCATACCCTTTCTTCAGATGGTTCTTTCCCATGGTCGGCGGCGCTAGCGGATGCGAATAGCGTTGGGGGCGGCGGCCGTCCAGGGCATACGGGAATCATTTTCCGCTCGCAAGCCTTGGTCGTCTGTGAGCGCGAGCAGATCCCCGTTGGATCCCAAGTCAGTTTTGCCGTTCGTTGTGTGTTGCCAGATTCCATACCCCCTACTCTGCGCGGAACAGCAATGCGATACACTTATGCTCTCGTTGTAGTTGTGTCATTTCCAGGGTGTTCCGCTCCCAAAGTCGTACGAGTTCCTTTTCGTGTTGTTTCGGCGGGAGGGACGGCTGTGGACGACGACCGTGCTACACACATCATTCCCGTCCCGACTCCACGCTCCGCAGGGCCTCATTTGAATCGTTTTCTGGAAGAAAGAGAGTCCAAGGCGTTGAGTTTATCTGCTTCTCTTCTCAAGTCAGCTCCTCCAGACGACATCGAAATTGCGTTGGCTCTGTCTTTGAATGGCAGGCTCACGTCCTATAAAGCGGATGTCGATCAGCACAGAAGCGAGGACGATTTTAACGACGGTGCACTTAGTTTTATCCGCGACTCGTCTTCGGCAGCAACGCCGAAAACCCCTTCTCGAGACGCTGCAGAGGAAAATAGCGATGGAGTGACGGATCAGAAGGCCAATGGGTTGTCACCAAGACTTCCTCGGAGGAAGAAGCATGCCATTCCGGTGTATGGTATTGCACACGGCAAGGAAGCAGTCGCGCGCATGCATTTGTCAAAACGAGTTCATCATCTGGGTGATTCTATTTCGGCAATTTTTCACTTCGCAGGTGAGCGTCAGTGTTATCGCCTCGAGGCTCGACTAGAAGCTCAGGAAGTTATTCGAAGAGACTTTGCCGTTGGTCAAAAGCAAGTGTCCACTGGGGATACAGGGTACTCAGATGTGATATTCAGAAAGGTGTACGGGGAACACGGGGAGTTCGTGATTTCCAACAAGAACACTCAGGTTACATTTTCTATTCCACATGATGCCCCAGTTTCTTTTTCGACAAGTATTGTCACAGTGCGATGGCTCATACACTTCGTATTCCTTATTCCGCGACTAGAGACTGAAGGGTTAGGAGGAACGGGACAAACTTCAACAAAGGGCGCTTCGATTGAAGCTGTGTCAAGTTTGGGGCAGTTACGAGTATCCGAAAACGGTCGGGCAGAGGCTGCGAATGCTGAGTGGGGAGGAGGGGCGTGGTCAGGGTATCAGCCGGGAGATGGCAGTCCTCTGCATCAGAAGAATGTGGATGTTCTGCGATGGACGTTACCTATAGTGGTTAGTGGTCAGCCAGGTTCACAGTGGGGAACGCGCAATGTTGGTAAGCTTCTGCATGAGGGGCTGAGCCCAAAGTAGGGGTAACGACGAACTGTATTTATCGATAAATAGTCGCACGCAGAGAAGAAATTTCTATCAACTTGAATTAATCACCCCGTACGCCTCCACTCCTGGATTTGGCAGCTACACCTCCATCCCCATTGCACTCGTCCTTACGGACGTGCCAATATGCAGGGAGCAGTTCTTTACCCCATGGTCGTCCTATCGACTTCGGAGCGGTTTTGCTTCCTCATTGCGTTCGTTCTCTGCTGTCCCCTTCCAGTGAACTTCCCGACCGTCCGCCTCATAGCAGGGCTTCTTTCTCTTGGGGAACCATTGTACCGCCGTTCAGTTCGCGTCTGTCTCGAATCCGTGTGATTCCAGGACGTACAACATTGGTAAGCTGCCTCCGGTGAAAGCCGTGTGAGCTGATCTGGTCTCATAGCAGTGGAATTGAAAACAACGCGAAGGCGATTCAAGTGCTGCTTTTTGACTTCTTGGCTGCTCTTTGTATCTGTTCGGATTGAATGCAACAAGTACGCAATCGCGCATGCCATCGCATAAAGGGTGGGATTCTCACTGTTCAGCGCCACTCGTCGCAGGGAGCCCCGAGCGTACGCATGTAACGTTATTGCAGAAGCAACATCAAGGTCTCCACTGCGAGCTGCCATTGCTATTAGAGGGGGATAGTACGTTCGCGATGGTCGAATGTTGTACTTCATCACTACTGACCAAATGGGCTTGGCACGGCCAGGTTCGTTCAGCCGCCGGCTGGCGTCTATTAGTCCACCGACCAAGACTGCGTTTGGAAGTACATCGTGAACATTCACCATACGCTCGATGATCTCAAAAGCGCGATTGATTTGTCCTCCTTTCGTCCAGCCGTCCATAAGGGCACCAAAACTGATTTCGTTGGGGCGAATTCCGTTTGCAACCATGTTTGCCATCACTCGCTCCGCTCGCTCTGGCCATCCAGCCTTCGAGCACGCGTCAATCAATGCGGTGTACACAACCACGTTGGCACGTGGGAAGCCCCAATGCTTGATCTCTGAAAACAATTGAAACGCTCTATCAGGACGTCTGGCATTTGCACATGTATCGATGAGTACGGCAAATGTGACAAGGTTCGGCCACACTGCGTTCCGCTTCATTTCTTCATACAGCAATAACGCTCGATCAAGCTGCTTCGCGCGACCACAGGCGTCCATAAGAGCAGAATAAATCGTTTGGTCCTTGACGACCCCACTCTGATCCATTAGCCTCGATACTTCGAACGCCCGCTCCACCTGTCCACTCTTCGCACATGCATCAATGAGCGAGCCGAATGTGAATTTATCAGGGGCGATCCGTGAAGCTTGCATCTCTTCAAAAACTTCGTATGCCATGTTTGGTTCGTTGTTACGGGCGCACGCAGCGATCATAGCATTGAATGTGACGACGTTCGGCTTGGGGCCCACCCTAGTCATGGTATAAAACAGAGTAAACGCTCGGGCAAGCTGATTGCATTTCCCGTAAGCGTCAATCATGATTGTGTATGACTTGGTAGCCTTATCTTTGCGTAATATACTTAGCCATGGTTCTCGATCCCAGAGTTGGGTGAAGGCAGCAGCGTCTCGCACTCGTCTCATGCGAAGCATCGCCGATAGGATTTCATTGAATTGCTCGATACTCAATTTGGCATTACCTGCGTGTAGTTCTGTCATAAACCTGCGCCGCTCTCGATCGTTGCCGCGGAGAAGTACGATGGCAGGACCCAGAGTTGCAGCGCGCACTGCGGATATATCACGTGCAGGGTGCGGGGTGCGCCTACCCCTTCTCACGATGTTCCGTCCCGTTTCAGGCGTTCTGTCTCTTACAAATGTTCTTCCTGGACTCCGTTCTGACGCGATGTCGCTAGTAGAATTTCTTTTCGCACTTCCGACGACCTCCCGCGAAGTCGGCAACTTATGCTCGTTTGCTTCCATTACTCGAGGGTCGCTATGCATGGTATTGTGTTGTAAAGAAGCAGACCACCCCGGAGCGATGGCATCTGTCCCTAATCGCGTTGTACGGGACAGTGCTGCGGTAGGGATGCATTTCTGCGCTCTTGAAAGATAGTTCGGTACAACTGCTCGAAGTGACTCAGGGAGGCTTCGTTGCTCAGAATTCCGAAACGAAGATCCATAGGAACGAGGAAAGCGGCCGACACCAAACGATTCGTTGCCGAGGAGCTGCACGGGACATCCAATCGGCCTATACTGCACGTCTGCAGTTCGGCAGTGTATGGAGGTGTTAAGCATAGAAGAAGACCAGAGGGTGAATGCAGGAAGGGTCCGCGGACGTCGCGGAGTGCCCTGCTCTGAGACCATTTCTCGTTAGGGTGCAGATTCACGTGAGAAGTATGTGACGGGTAGGGTACTAATCGCGGCGCTTCCGCCAGGCTGCACGAACAGTGCTTCAGACCCGGGTCATCCCGTCCCGCTAGCCCGTCACCCCACTGCTGCAAAGTTTCTGCGAGTGCGAGAGAGGGGGTTGGCTAGAGAGATTGAACAAAACTAACCCTCTAAGCAGTGTGGTGCGGAGGTGCTCGTTGACCCGTGGACTTGACGCAATCTCCGGTGGCAGCGTCCGAAATCTAGGGTAATGAGCAGGTTGTAATAACCTTGACACGATGTGATCCTCAAAGCAGGACCGCCAATGGCTGAATCCAGACAGCACTGTCGCGTACAGTAACGTTATTTCGCTTGTCTAATGGGCCCTCTATCATACGATCTGCTTTCTGTTTTATAAATTAAAATTTCTCCTGATCCAATTTTTGAAAGTGTATCCAAGATCAAAGTAGTATATGTTATGATCGAATGCCGTCGTCGACCGGTGGGCACGGTTCGCGATACAGACCACGATCAACGTCTCCCGGGTGTGTCGAAAATGTAGTGTCCGCCGCCCACCGTAGCTCTCTTTCAAGCCCCCATAGGCCTCTATCCCCTTTCGCGGTATCGCTCGTTAATTCGATTCCGGCATTGGAGATATCTTCAGCAGCGATGACGACTGTGAACGAAATCAAGCTTTTCAACCGGTGGTCATTTGAGGATGTGCGGGTGGAGGATATGTGCCTCGCCGACTACATTGCGGTCAACCAGAAGCATGCCGTCTACCTTCCTCATACTGCCGGTCGTTACAACTCGAAGCGATTCAGGAAAGCGCAATGCCCCATCGTGGAGCGTCTCGTCTGCTCCCTCATGATGCACGGCCGCAACAACGGAAAGAAGATCATGGCGGTGCGCATTGTCAAGCATTGTTTCGAGATCATTCACCTGCTTACCGACCAGAACCCGATTCAAGTCCTCGTTGAAGCCGTTGTCAACTCCGGCCCTCGTGAGGACTCGACGCGTATTGGATCTGCGGGAACGGTCCGTCGCCAGGCTGTCGATGTGTCACCGATGCGCCGCATCAATGTCGCCCTTTACTTGTTGTGTACGGGTGCTCGCGAGGCTGCGTTCCGTTCAATCAAGACAATCGCCGAATGCTTGGCTGATGAACTAATCAATGCCGCGAAGGGTTCCTCGAACTCGTACGCGATTAAGAAGAAGGACGAAGTAGAGCGAGTTGCCAAGGCCAATCGCTAACTGTGAATGTAGCCAGCGATGGAACCCCGTGGGCGAAATGCATTTATTTGTGAACAGGTTGCGTGTTGTTGCTCGATCGGAGCAAAGGACCTTCTTCCTAAATCTTGCGGTCACTACTCTACCTTGGTACCCTCGTTGACAATAAACGCCTTGGAGATTGATATTTGTCTTTTCTCTGTTCACCGCTCACATCAGGTACGACGCCGCGCAAGTCCATTTCTACGGCTTCAGGGCCATTCCCTTGTGAAGCCAATGTAACAGCCTCAGATAGGGCCTTTTCGTACAGTCGGAGGGACTCGAAACGCCACGCAGATTACTATTCTCTGTTTTGCCCTCCAAATTCCGGATCCAGGCCATCGGGTTTCGCTTCGCATCTGGTCTGTGAATTGCTTGATCTCGATAGACGTGTTCCACGCCTGAATGTGAGGGATTGCCAAGCGAAACCAGGATGCTCGTACCCAGCTCCCAGCTATCCCCCCATCCTCACCACTGTAGTGAAAGCCTCTGTCCACACCCTTTCCATTTTGTTGAACACCTTGCACTTTATTTTTTCCGAACCCCCTCCCCTTTTGCTTTACATCTGCCGGTTTCAGCTGACGTTCTTCTTGACAAAAGACGGCGATTGAGCGTCGTTCAAATGGACCGGGCACAATCTAAGCTTTCAACCAGAGGCCGGCTGCCCCCCCTTTCCGGGGAGCGGAGCTTCACGGGCTCCGACAGTGAGTTTAGAGCTCTAGAATTGAAGCGCGCAGAGACGGGGGGCGCTGCTAGTCAACGTCCTACAACCCGTTTCCAATCTCACGTAAACTTCCCAACAACCGAGGGAGGTGACACTACGCATGTGCGTAGTGCTTCTCAAAATACATCCATCATACTGCAAGGCTCTTCTGATTTGGCCACTTTCCAAATGGGCCATCGCTCAGACATTCTAAGCTCTCCGCACTCTTCCTCAGCTTCTACCGACAGACGCCAAGATGTTCAAGAGATGGAAGACCTCGACGTGGACCAAGGCTTCGATTATTCGTCACGGCTCGATCAAGTAGCAGGTTTGTTAACCTCGTCTTACATCTTTGCATCGGCTCTAGAATTGCCTTTCCTGCGTATCATCTGACATCTCTGTCTTTCGTTTTAACGTTGCTCAAAAGACTGGATCGCCAACTTCTCGAGAAAGGCGGAGTCTCTCGAAGAAAACGTAGAGGAAACGAAAGCGCACATGCAGGAACAGGTAAGATTCCTATAGGTCCAGCATACGGTACATGAAACAAAATTTTCAGCAGTGCTGACAATGAATATAGCGACTTGCAATTATGCGGCAACAAGGAATTTGTGAGAGCTTGCAGAATCGCTTGGAATTGGCATCTTCTGAGAATGCTCAACTGGAAGATGCTCTAAGGAATGAGACAGAAGAACGTAAGTGCAATAGAGTGCAAGATATGGTGATGAGGGAAAAAGGAATTTGTAAAAGGCTGACCATCTATTCATTTTTTCTCCAGACTCTAGCACTCGTGATAAATTCGAAAGTCAGACCCAGACTTTAAGGTCAAAAATGAAAGATCAAGAAGAATGTCTTGCCAAGAAGGAAAAGGCTATCCTTGAAAGTACACTATTTCATACTCCAGACACTTTTCCATTTCGTACAGTTGCAACCGCAATTCTAACAATATCATTTGTCTGTTGAACTGCATTGCTCTGTGTTTTGACACAAGGAAAAAATGAACTACTACATTTGCACAGACGGCTAGAGGAGGAAATTGTAATGAGAACGGAAATTTCCATTGAGCGAGATGAGTTCTGTTGTCAGGTTACTAAGTTGAAAGAAGAGTAAGTCATTGAGTCGTTGGCGTCTTGCGAGTAATGCAGCTAACGTATAGCAGCTCAAACTAATTACATTCGCGAATCGTGTGCTTCAATGTGAAGCCTAGCGTCTGAAAGAAAGAGCAGCGCTTCAAATAAGGAGCGAGACAAGGCTAAGTACGAAGATGCAGAGAAATTGCATGAGGAACAAATGACAAAGAATGCATATACAATCAAGCAGTTACAAGAGAAGAATTCAGAAAGCCACCACGAGATGGGTCAATTGAGAGTAAGTGAATTCTCTGTTGAAGTCAAGAAAAATCTGAAGGTAGCAGTTCATCTGACCACGCATTTGCCACTCTTCGTAGCAATCACGTGAAAGTCTATCGAAGATTAACAGAGTTCTGCGCACGAATAACGAGGTTGGTCGCACTTATTTTATGTTTTCCTTCGGGATCTGTGACTTGAACATCATAGCTAACTTCCTTCCGTCTTTCCGTGTGCTAAAAAAAAAAAAATCTCTGGCGCATGGAATGCGCACACCTGTTTTGTTTTCTCAGAATATCGCTGCGGGCATAAAGTCTATCAGCGACTCTGTGGTTTGCTTTTCGAAGGTCGTATATGAACCTGAAAACTACCAAGATTGGAAACCTCCCATCACTGACGGGGGAGTATCGGAGGGCTCTCATCAAACGGGGCCACCTCAAGTGATCGGTTTCTCGAACAACAAGACAAATGCTGAAGGGAAAACTGTGGTATTTTCGGATCATATTCGTCAGTTGTCTAGGAAATTGATTTGCGTCTTTGAAACAGCTTTGCGTCGACAGACTGAGCTGACCGCGGACGTAAGAAGGAGTAAAGCTGCTGTTGGAGATGTTTGGAAGGCGTGTCTAAGCTACAAAGGGATTGTGAAAGAGTTTCAGGAAAGCATCTTACGCATGAAAGAATACATCCGGTGTGCTAACGATGAGAAGACAAAGCTGAATAAGGCTGTTCGCGTGGCTCGGGAAGACTGGAATAGATATCGAAAGAAGCTCTCCGAAATTTGTAAAGCACTTGAGCTTGAAGACGCTGCCAAGAAAGGGACGCTGCAAGCACTCGACAGCTGCAAAATGAATCTCGAAAGTGCAAATAATGAGAAGACTATTGCGCTCGAAACCCTTGCAGCAAGAGAGGAAAGAATTAGGAAGTTGACCACCGTGGAGGCGAAAACGCTGAAAGAATGTGAGGTGTACAAGGAAAATCTCGAAAAATGCCGCGCGGAGCGTGAAAAGCTTCTAGAATCTCGAGTATGTGAGATGACCACCATTCAGAAGCAGCTGGGCAAAGAAAAGGCTGAGGCTCAACAGGCTATTCGAAATTTCGAAAAGTGCAAAACGGAACTCCGGAAGGCAAAAGAACTCGCAGCTCGGGATCAGGAAATGTATAAACTCGAATTCGCAAGAGTGATGAGAATGAAGAAAGCCGAATGTTCCACATTCAAGCCCAGTCAGCCTGGTTGTAATGTTGATGGACTTGAAGCCGTTGTCAACACTGATGACTGGGCTACAAAGCAGCGAACAGAGGCTGAAGTTGGACCTCAGCTGGAGAAGAAGGGAGTGTCATTGAAACCCGCCAACGCAGATTTCACCAAACTTGCCAATCCGCCAAACACGGAGAATCATCGTGCCATACACGAAATAACCCAACCAGGCCCTTCATGTACTATCGTCACTGGTCAAGTTCAGAACAACTCTGCGACCCGCTCACCTGAACAGAACACTGCCATTGCAATGCCACGGTTAATGTCGAAAAAGCGCCACGAAGGCAAAGACCTCTCCAAAACGACCACAATCAAGAAATCGAGGAGTTCAGCTTTCAACTCGCGGTCACGGAGTCGGAAGAGGGCATTGAGAAAGAGCACAAGAACACCAGTTCGCAAGGACACTGATGAGTCCGAGAATGAGGAGGGTGACGATGACGACTGGTTTCTTCCATACGAGTGATTGCATGGGTATCGACAGGATTGCACGTGCTCGGTGTGCAGAACTCAGATACATCCCAATTGCGATCTGCGAGAGCTATCGCATTTGCTTGCCACAAATTCGGAACATTTAACTTGCGACCTTATGTTAAACTAGCTGGCCCTTAAGGCGCTGTCTTCTCATTGCCTTTTCATACTCGCTTGCGTTCTGCTCCTATGCTGAAGATCACTCTTATATCCAACCTCAGCTTGTCTTATTCTTGCACGGAAGTCTTCGTTCTTGAGCTCAGCCCTGTGAAGTATGTCCTCCTCAATCCGATTCATTTCACCTAAAAACGTCTCTTCACACAGTTTCCACCCGTCTCGAAGGGCCTTTTGTTCCGACTCTAAGAACTTATCGAGATACTGACCGACTGTCATCTGCTGAATACTCAATGTCTCTCTCGTACTCTCCGAATAGTCTTTTTCGTTTTCTCTCCGGGCTTGACTTTTTTGAACCATGACAGAGTCTCAGCACTCCAGCTGTCACAAGAGCCAAGAAAGTGTAGGTACTACAATGATACTACGATGTCGCGGGTTGTTCCGACTGGGGGTAACCGGAGCCTTCGCAACCGCCGTGGGTTCTTTCGCTTCTTGAACGAGCTAGAACGATAGCAGATTTTGAAGCGTTCTGGGGTCAGAGTTTGCACGAAGTCGGCATGCATGACGACAGAAGACTTAACGAACTTGATCCTAAGTGGTTGAGATGCGAACACTTACAGCACTCAGCACCAGATTTAAAAAGCCTGAGCAATCATTCGACGGTTTGAAAATTTAAATTTGACCGAGGCTGATGTTCAAAAAATTCTCCGACTCTGTATATTCCTGGTATGTCATACTAGTAACATTCATTTAGAATGTTCCTAGCTGCTTTTGTGCATTGAAACTTAACAGTTCCTCATCAGAAAACACGTCAGAATAGGACTAGATCACCTTCTCACAGTGGGCGCTTCTAGCCCCACCTCACAGTATTTTTTGCGTTCTTCTTGATCAATAATTGACCATTTTCATTGCCAGATACTCTTATTGATCAAACACATGGACATGTTTTCAAGAAGAGCATTGAAAAAAAGGCACATAGGGGAGAGCTGCTGCCGTGTGCTCTAATCTGTCCTTACAGACATCTGTGAAAGAAGACAAAATCAGTTTTTGGCTTGCTTGCTCGCTTCTAGGCCACTGAGATTCGATTAAATCTTGTCGCGCCTCTCCCGCAAAGTACTCCACAGTCAGTTGAGCGGGAACGAATACCTTTTCAGAAGACGAAGGCCATCTAATAAGCACAACGAAATCGCTATCGGAACACCTACGAACCCGGCGATGTCGACTGTCTCAAGAGCTCCTTCCCAGGAGAATCGCTACGAAGCTCTGCTGAACCCAATTCGTGGTCTTGTAGCAAGTTGGGATGTTGACGTGGCCAAAGAGTTGACGTACTACGCTGACTCAGTGGGTATTTCGATAGAAACAGTTGCGCCGAGTATTGACTCACCAGAGCAGTTCTTGGATTCAATCGATTTCGCCGAGGCAGCACTTGTTGTCGAGGGCGCTACGTCATTATACTCGCGAAAAGTGAAACATCTCTACCGCCTTGTTTTCGAAACTGTTTCTGCCCTAATTCCAGCCGACGAGGAGACAACCGACAAGGCAGATGGACTTGCTGTAGATAACGCTAATGAGTCTAGTCTGGACGGACTGAACAATAACGACAACACACAAATTTTCACAAATGATGAGGACTCGCTCCCAGTCGACCAGAAGCGGCGAATTACACATCAAGAAGAAAAAGAGCTTTTAACCGCTGATCAAACTTGTATGTCTCCGTCTAAACCAGAAGTGAGTAGAGAAAATTCCTTTGGGGGGGATGAAATTGATGGGCATCCTTTCTCGCCGTACCAGCCGGAAAGCTTCTCTCTGAGAGTTTCGAAAACCATCAAAGACGTAGCTGCTTTGTATGGCATCACCTCTGAAGTCCAGAGTGTCATGAATGTCCAGCCTCCGAAAGACCCTTTCCTGATGATGAACCCCCTTGAAGCGATACCAACGCATGTGAAACCTGTGAAGGTAGGTAAAACCTACAAGAGGACAAGGAGATCGATCAAAACCAGTCACATCCCATACTATGATTTTAGGCCAGCGGAGATGGACACGGAAGACCTAGTGCTCGGGAAGTTTAGCCGAACTGCATCGATGGGAAACTACATATGTTGCACAGAGCTGAAGCCAGACTACATCTCTGTACAAAGAAAAAGGAGAGCTCAATGGAAACATGACGTCTCGACTACTGAACAGTTCCTTCTGCAGAAGTTTTTCCAAGAGGTGGATTCCGGCCCGGATATGGAATCGGGTGGATACAACGCAATAGAAGGCATTGATTTCGACGCATTTGGAGACGCAGACGATCTCCCTGCTCCTGAATTTCAGACTCAGGACTTTGAAAACGGCGATGCTCTGGAATTTCAAGCAAACGACGATGACGATGGCTTCGGTTCTGTCGCTCCTGGTCTTGAAGAAACTTATCGTGAGCATCTTGAGAGAATAGCATCGTTGTGGAAACAACGAACAGTGGATACTGATATGGTGAAAAGAGTTGAACAGTGGACTTCTCGTATTCAGCCTCTTCTCGAAGAGGAAGAGCATCGTCCTAAATTCGATATTTCTTGCTACGAGAGGGAAATTCTTAGTGACCTCAATGGTATTGTTAAGCAAAAACATGTTTTCAAGACAAGGGTAAGCATGCTTATCAGAGAGCCAGCTCGATTTGAGGTTTGTCGGAAATTTCTGGCAATGTTGCAACTTGCAAATAGCTATGATATAGAAATTCAGTCGTCAGAAGGGTGTCATGTCGAAGACTTTTTCGTCAAGGCGCCTCTGAATGAAAGAGAAGGTCAGAATATCGCGAACACAAGCTTGGCAGGAACGGAGAGCCAGTATGCCACGCAGTCTCCTTTGAACGAGAAAGAGAACGAAGACCCGTTGCTTGAGACTGCTGCGGTTGCTCAACCGAGAACTGATGGTGGTGCGATTTTGAAGGACCGAGGTGCGAAGCGGGGACGTCTGTCTGGATCCACACCGAAGAGTTTAAAACGCCTTCCTCTGCGACCGCGCCTCGAGCTGCTTAACACTCCTAGATAGGTGAGCGTAGAGACTCTTTATGCAAGACAGTAAATTGGTTTTTAGTGAAACTGTGCAAATTCTACTTGCCCTCAAAAACTGGTCCTAAGTCTATCTTTTTGGTTTAGTTTGCATATCAAGATGAAGACCGATATCGACGGTGGCGTGAAGTCCTCGACATCGGAATACGTCGAACAAAAGATGTGAATTGGAAGTCAATAGCAGTCACGAAACATGATGCAAGTGAGATTTTTCACGGTTTCGGCTTCCGGAATGTTTGAAGCACGTGATAGATGTTATCAAATGCATCATAAATATCCTGCCGCACTTTCGCCCCAGTCAGCACCACCTTTCCTGAAACGAAAATCAGCAGGACAATCTTCGGCTTAAGCATTCGGTATATCAGACCTGGAAATAGTTCGGGTTCGTAGCTGCAAAATTGGTTATGTGCGTGGGCCAAACCCTCGAGGCGGACCGGAAAATGGACGTCACAACTGGCGACAATGTTCTGCACAGTAAATTCCTTGAACTTCGCTTTGTCGTATCCAAGTTTGTGGACAATCTTCGCATATTTTCTTGACGCGCGGCTGGACTCGTTTTCCGACTTCGCTCCAGTAACCACAATTTTCCCGGAGGAGAAAATTAAAGCTGTGGTTTTCGGCTCCCTAATTCGCATGATGACCGCAGCAAAGCGTTTTGGGTTGTATTCCGCATTTCTCGCCCGAAGGGCAATACGTTTCAGATCTAGTTTGACGTCGAGGTTTGTAGTCGCAACCACATTCTGAATTTCAGGCTTGATACCATGGCTCAAGCGCCCAGCAACTTTGACTTGGTCATCCGCCGTTGCAGCCTGCGGCATTGGCCGTGGTACAGAATCACCAACTCCAATCGCGTCATTTGCGCCCACTGGATTTGAGCTCGGCCCGGCCGGTGCAAAAGACACCTTTGCGGCATCCATGTTGCCAGATTGCATACCTTCTACCCGCAGAATTACGGACCTCGCCCAAGCCTCGACAAGTAAGCACTAGAAAGGAGTACTTGCAAGAAGGCTAGGAGACTCTAGCCAGTATGAAAGGGCAAAAACGCGAGATAACAGGGACGTGCGTCTCGCGCGGGATACTCACACTACACAGTCGTGAAGCAAACGAAACTGCTGCAAGCATCAAGAGGATCCGCATGGAACACGAAAGTCAGTAATGCTGCGCGTGAAGTATACATTACGTCTATCCAGCCCGTTCAAGCCGTCAAGCGCCTCCCAACGTCCTTACCCCAGCCTCCTTCCCCCTGTTCATGAACGCAAGGCGAAGACGCGAAAACAACTCACATGTTCTCAAGATGAACGCTTATCTCACGGCAAGACGTCTGCCCGCAAACACAACCCGCGAAAATTGTGAAAAGCTGTGAATGGGCTTCGTGAAAGTGTGCCGTTTCACAACATGAGCGTTCTTCGTATTCACGGTGGGTGGAGCTGAGTCTAAGCAAGTGTGGGCGACGTGAAACGCAGTGATCCGGAGGTGGGGTTTGTCGGGAGGTAAGGGCGGGAGGCGAGGAGAAGAGTGTGTGCTGCACCCTACGACCACGTCAACAGCAACAGAGGGTGTGGCCCTGAAGGACCGGGCGCTTAAATAACTTTTCGTGAGGGTCCCGGCCCAGCCAGGGGTGGTCCACAGCCAAGAGTGCTGGTCAGCGCTGAACGACAACACCATAAATATTTCAAAATTTCAATATCTTGTATCATTCCAGGAGATACTTCTACAATGTGATCTAATTTATGAAATTCGGATCGCTTCATATCGGCTCTGTGACGCCAAGCGGACCGGCATAGTCTTGCCCGGCGTCGAACGCCACGTCCCCACCTGCCGAGTACAATTTCTTATTTTATTGAAAATTTTCGAATGGCGCCGGCGGCAAGCGCATCGAGCCTCGCACATCCACCCTCATCGGCACCAGAGCTGCCTTCGTCCCGACAACGCCGACTGCTCAAACTTCGATCCCACGTGGTCGTCGAAAACGTCCGCTCAAGTGTCTCTGTAGGGAGAACCTCACCTTTCCAAAATGGTCGTCAAGTACGTGATCAATCTCTGTTTACTTCGAATGCGTCATATGTGGAGGGAGTGCCCTGCTTGCGGGGCTGCCATGCCTTGCGATGAAGGCCACCGCGCGCATCATGTGATCTGTGCGGAGCAAGTCAGAAAATACGGACGCTGAGTGTTGGTTTCACAGCGAGGGTGGCGGGCGGAGAATGCTGGTCGATCATTGTATCATTAATCTGGTCAGAGCCACGCGTCACAAAATGATCAGACTGCAGACAATGGATAGGAATTCTTCGCGGTGGTCTTTTTCAGAAAAAGCGGATACGGCGAGGAACGACTTGCGTTCTGCGGAACGACTATGCGCTCTTTATCGGCGTTTCGAGAACTGGAGCGAGCGATGCGAGCAGTATATGAGATGTCCTTGTCTTTCTAACCACACTTTACTTCCCAATTGCCCCCTCGCTTCTCTGTACAGAACTGATCTTTGCTTTTACTCTGGCTTCCGTATCTATCCGGGCCATGGCCGCCGCTACATTCGCACAGATGGGCGTCAGTACGTCTTCATCAACTCCAAGTCGGAGGCGTCGTTTCACATGAAGCGCAAGGCTGCGAAGCATTCATGGACACAGCTTTACCGTCGTCTGAACAAGAAGGGTATCCAGGAAGAGACCCAGCGTCGCCGCAATCGCCGAAAGGTCTCCGCAGCCCCCAAGGCTGTGGAGGGTGCCCCTCTCGAAGTCATCAAGGCCAAGCGTAACCAGCGTCCCGAAGTCCGTAAAGCTGCCAGAGATGCCGCTTTGAAGGATATCAAGGAACGCAAGAAGGCCGCCAAACCGAAGACTAGGTCCCAGATTCCCTCTGGAAGGGGCGCTAAGAAAATGCCGGTTGCTCAACGCCGTTGATTGTCAAAGTAAACACATTCTGAAAGTCTGCAATACCTATTTTTATCATTGCTCTGTTCACGTTAAGTAGAGGCAAACGCCTGTGTTAAGTTACATGCGCAGTAATCTTTGTGTTTTAGATATGTATTCGGATAGTCGTGCTTCGTCAATTGAGACTGTTGGATCGCGAAAAGAGGGCTCTGGAATAGGCTCAATCGACTCAGCCTCGTAGGAACCAGAAGTGTGGGACTGTGATTCCAGAGTCGGGGGGCCCTGCATTGATGACCCGTCAGGAGTGCATGACAGGTCCTGCAGATCTTGACTATTAGCGAAATTAGTGTCTGTGATGGTAGACCGATAGGCAGCTTGCTCCTTGCTGAGAAAATCTAAACAAGATTCGCAGAATTCGATAATGGTCATGGCGGGGGCCCTTTCATATTCCACATTCAGAAAGTCGGTGAAACGAGAGCTCGTCGGTATGGTCTCTGTGACGGTGACAATAAAAGCGTCGTTGTCAGCGATATGGATTACCAGCGGGGGTTTGTCGTCGCTGACGTTCCGATGTGGGGTAGGGCGGAATGACTTGACTACTGGGGCGTATTCGTCTGGGTTACGAAACACCAACCGTCTGACCGAGCCACCCTGAACTTCCCTGGAGAATTGGACGAAGACCTGGATGAGCGGAAACAATGTGAGAGGCGCAATGGGGGTCGTTTTTAGCAGGTGGGCGGCGTGTTTGGAAGAGGATCCATCATCCCAGCTCTTGTCATGGACGCATTTGCCATCCGGTTTCTGAAAAACGTGGACATGGCGCCTGCCCTTCATTGCGAAGGACGCCGCTGTGAGTTTGGGCTGCTCTCAGTGTAGATTACCGATGCCCCGATACTCAAAAGCCACGAAAAGCAACTGGGCGAACACCATTCTCTTTTTTATACTATGCCCCTTTACATCGTGGCAACGTAAGACAAGTGTACGAAAAGACAAAGACTTCTTTCGTGTCAGAAAAAAAAGGTTTGTAACTTCATTACAGTATGTACTTTAATTCAGCGCTCGAGCTTACAGTTTCATTCGATCTTACAGTTTAGTTCTTCATGCCATTCGTTACGGCCATGCTAACCAGGCTGGAGTCCAGCAATGTCAGATATCGATTGGTTGAGCGTTGCCCTCGACGAGGAGCTGGCGCGGCCACGGAGCGTAGAGCCGTTATCATGTTGTGAAGCAGTGCAAGATTCTGCAAAAAAATGAAATTCTATGACGGTGTGGAGTGCTGGGCTTCTTGATGCACCCGTTTCAGAAATTTGCCCCGGCAGATTTACTACAGGCCCTGCATCCTGAGTAATACCATATGGACAGTAGGAGTTTCGCAGTCTTCGTTAACGTTCGTATTTTCATGAACGAGCCGGCAAGATAATCGCAGTCCCTTTTCCCAAGCAATCTACTCTCCATCCCTCTTCCCCTTTCCGGTGAGCATTCCTGCCACCCGTCTACTTGCGCTCAGACCATGCCCTCGCTTGATGTACAAGGTCCCAGCTGAAGGTTTTGACACAATCACCGTCTTTGAACAAGATTCACTTCCAAACACTTTACCAAAAGCCGACCGACCGCATCTGCCGCCCGACATGATTTTTCGTTTTCGGGTCCTGCTCCCCATCAGCCTTCTGATCGCTTCTTTTCTCACCATTTCTCTCCCATCCTTTCCATACTTTTTCGTATTCTTATGGACTCACTATCATCCAGGATATGTTATCACTCTCTCCCGCTTTCCAGCATTTTCCCTTCTTCTCCTTCTACTCTACTCCATTCTCGCTATAGCGGCTCACATTATCCTCGCAATTCTTATCGAGACGGGCGTTCTCGGTCTCGATTCTCTATCAAGAGAGACGATCCTTTCTCTTGCTCTCCCAAGATACGCCCCCTCTCCATGGCAGGGCCTTCGCTTTTTTTTGCCTCATGTCATGGTTTCTGTTTCAATAATTCTCGTTTTCCTCTCCAAAATACCAGAGCATCATAACTTTGCGAATTCCTTCTTCATCGTGGCTTGGTTTCGCAGACGAAGACAGCAACAACGCCGCGAATTGCAACAGCGCCAGCCACAGCGACCCCCGGCTGTATCCTCTCTTGAAGAAGCTCATGTTCAGCCGTCTCAGCAATACGGTCGTACTCCCACAGGACTCATCCGTCGTTTTTCGAGACGCCCACCTGTTCGTACCATCAATCTCTCAACTATCAATGAAGAAGGCGTCAACCTTTTAGAAGCCAGTGAGCAGCTCATTAGTGATGTCGCCTCCTCTATAACCGATGATGACACGCGTATTGGAGCGACACATCAAAAGCATTCTCAACAACCTGGAGAGCCGAAGCTCACCAAATTCGTTGCGTACATGGCTGGACGTGCTGGTTTATTTTGGTGCGCCGTTTCAACATGGCTTGTGGGTGTGTCGTACTCCAGTCTATGCACGTTTGTCTTTATCTCTGTGTTTTCCATGGTAGCCCTCTTTGGGGCCTTTCACATAGAGATTGTTCACCCGCGGGTGAATACTGCACGTTGTCTTCGCTATTTACGATGTTACCGTGTTTTCCTCACGACGTATGTGGCGCTTCTATTTTGCTTTCAGCTGCCATGGCTCGTTCGCTGGGCTGACCCGCAATATGGCACCACAGCGTCTGTTTTACAGTTGATCGGGTTGGTACCGATTGATGCCAGCAAGCCAACTGGCTGGACAGCCATCACTGCATTCGGTGCTGCTCTCGTAACATACCTATTCACGGGAATGTTCGAATCTGCTTTGCAGGTCGTACAAGACTCATGTAATTTAGAAGATGGGCCACCGTCAAGAGGGAACGCAGGTCCGGGTGAGGCGTCTCTGGAGGCAAACGCTGAAACCGAAGGAAGAGGGATACTGCAGAAGCCTTCATTCTATGAACTGCAATTGCTGCTGACTGCCCGTCATGCGTCTTCACTGGGCCTCCTCGGATGGGCGCTTGTGTTCCCGGGTATTTTGACTTTACCATTGCTGTTCGCTGCTATTCTGTATCTGAGTCTGAAGAGCTACCGCAATTCGAGATTATTTCAATATCTAATCGTTTACGCACTAATCCTTCAAATGGTTCACTTCTTGCTGATTGCGGTCATTGACGCCTTTCGAGCTGTCGAGGATGACCCTGCGGTCATGAAGTTGCTTGGATTACAGTCTCTGAGGGTTTCATTTTCCGTGAACTTGATCGAGTCTATCGCTTTCGGGTTGCTCTGTTTAAACCTATTCAGCAGACGCCACATTGAAATAATACAAGCAAGCGGTGATCGTACAACAACTGGAGATGTCCCAGGACAAATTCAGATTCGAGATTTTGTTCAAATGTCTCTGTTCTCATCACAATCGAGAAAGCGAGATTCAATGTATTCGCCTTTAAAATTGTGCGTTGATCAAGTTGCCCTTGCATCTTTGTACGTTGCTGGTGGTCTGGACCTTACCGAGTTGAATTCAGTGTTTCTTGGCGCACTGTCTATACTATGCGTTCTGCAATCCTTCGGGCTTTTCAGGCGCCCGAAATTGTTTACGGTCGTGTGGTCCATAGTCTTGGTGTATTCAATTTTATTCTTACTCACAACAGGAACATTTTGCAGAGCAGTCGATTCCGTGTGGGAATGTAGCCTGGATGACATTGGCGTCAAGAAGGCAAATACCGGCCAAGTGGTCGCATATGCAGCCACAGTAGTCCTGGCTTCGATTCAGGTAAACTACACGTGGTCGCACACTGCGGAAGGCCGGATTGAGGAGTTTGATGGGCGAATCTGGAGAGCATTGCGAAGCTATTTTTTGTATGTGGCTTATGCTGCCTTACTGTTCTACCCACTCCTGTACCAAGCAAATTTCTTGTCGTACGGCCATGTCATCTTTCTTTTTTTGACACTTCTGGTTGAGCTTTTGCCTTCCTCGTTGAGAGGCCAAACACCAACTGCGCGGCGAGTTATTAAGAAATATTGGTTCCTGGTGGTAGTATTTACATGTGCAGGTATGCTTTCCCGATACTTTGTGAGTTTGCATTGGTCATCGCAGAGCCAAGAAGAAACTCGAAGGTGGCTATTTGGGCTTGATCCTGGAGATTCTACATTCGTGATCTCGATGGGAGATGCGATTCTTCTCATTCTTGTATCTCTGCAAGGGCGCTTTTTCGTCGTAGATTATTTTGCGACGCAAGGAAAGTCGGGAGACAGGAGTGAGGGCAGCCCACCCGACGAAAGCACGGTCCAAATTAGTGGCGCTCTTGATAATCGTGATACGATCTCAGAACCGGGCGATGCCAGATCTCCGATGGAGCAGGACCGCGACACTCTGATACTAAAACATCGGAGACACAAGAGCCTTCAAGAGAATCTCACCTCGGAATTCACGGCCGAGCCATTATCCTGGCTTGCGGATAGTCCTGGAACGGGTCCATCGGGGGAGTTATTGAGGAATCGAACGATAAACGACGTCTCGGAAGTACGTCGCCCAACTTCACGCGAGCTGTCTAATGTCACGAATGAATCAGAGCGTATGCGAAAAGTCGAGGCGGAGGAGCGCAGAAGAAATGAGCTGCAACAAGTACTCAATAGAGAGCGCATCGAGCAAGCGCTCGACATGTTTCGGAACTTCCGCAAGAGTGTCCCAGTGAAGAAGACTGAACAGTTCTTGCAAAGCACATATGCGTCTCTCGTTATGCTTCTTCGGAGCGTTATGTTGAAATACAGTTATGCTCTCGAAGCTGTTGCTATTCTTGCAGCTTCGATCTGGTTGCCAGGATTTTCAGTTTTCGGTGCGCTTTACATATTTCTTGGCTGCATCGTTCTGCTTGCTGAGCAGCCAGCCTTTGCCCATGAGGAAAATGAGGAGCTGCAACCTGGTCAACGCATCTCGAAATCTATGCCATCAGTTCTCCTTATTCTATCATTCTCCTTAATGTCCGCGCAATATATTTTCTTAATCATTCTCCGGATGAAGGACTCTAGTGGCGGATTCGTCACCTCGTATATTGGATTGCAAACACCGCTGAATGCGAACACTCTGCCAATCGGTGTAGAGGCAATGATTGCACACGTTTTAGTTTTCATCACTGCAATTGTACAGAAGATAGCTGTTCGCTGGGCGAGAATGGATGCAGGTAGCAGCATGAACAGGGTTGACAAGTACGCTAGCAGCCTCAGGAGCACCCGTCAAGGTCCAGCTGAAGATGCAAACGCTCTGGATAGTGCAGTTCCGATAGGTTCAGTTCTCAAAGGGGTGGGAGGTCCTGTACAACCACCTAGTAATGACGTCTCTGGTGCTCAGTCATCTTTTGTTACAGCGTATGGTGCTAGCTGGTCAGAAACATCCGGTTGGAGGCCTAATCGCGGCAAGACGTCCCAATTGAGACAAGTCTCGAATAACAAGACATCTGCGCTTGAGCAGCTCTCAGAATCGGGCATGGAAAAGAAGTCGGATCAAGATAGAATCGAGCAAGTGCGCGGGAAGGTTTCAGATTTTGTGAAGCACTTAGGCAACCGTTTGAACGCATTAACATCTTTGCTGAGACCATTTTGGAAGGATTGGGGCTCCGACGTGACTTTCATGTACTTGGTCATCTGCGGTGCAATTACTGACACAGTCTTTTCCATTGTCTATGTCGGTATTGTATTGGTCATTGGTGGCTTCAAAAGGAAGAAGCTTACCCGTCACTGGCACCAGATATCACTCTTCCTCGTAATCCTTGTGCTCATGCAGTATGTGCTGACGCTAGGCTTGCCCTCCGAGATGGAAGAGCCCCAGAGTTCAGATTCGTTTCAGAAGTGGAGAGTTTGGTTGTTGCTTGATAGGGAGAACAATTCTTCAGAGCGGAAAATTGCTGTTACTTTTGCGTTTATTGCGGTCATATGTGCTACCATTACTCTGAATTCAATCTCAGCAGGTTCAAGGGGATTTTCGTACTGGTTCCAAAAGCTTCAGAAACGGAACTTAGCAGGGCGTGAGGAGTCTCTTGATGACCCTGACGATGAGGAGCACATCCTAGGAGCACTAGAAGAAAGTGAAAGGTCAAGCGAAGGCAGCATACGTGATTCTCCAGATGTGTCCGATCCGAAGCCTGAGCCCGTCCCAAACCAGAACCGAGGACGCAAAGTTGTCCAGGAAAGGTTCACATCCAGAAATGCTGAATCATCACAGAGGTCGGTCGACATCTCACGAGGTTCCAGTGGAGAAATTAGGCCAACAGATGTCAATGGGATGGCTCTCTCTCATGCGAATATGGAATCTAATTTGGAAGCTGGAGGAGTTTTGAAGGAGTCCAATCCACAACCAAGGGTAGACGGGAAGTCCCCACTGTTTCCCGTTTCAAATGAGCAATTCCTTTCAGCCATGACTAACGATAGTCTGGAGGGATCCGATTCAGATGATATTGCTAAACGACTACTAAGGCCGAATGACCCGAGAGACTTCACTCGCAGACCTATATCGTTTCAGAACGCCGTGAAGCTAAACTGGATGCGACTTATGGGTGGCTTTGTTCAGCTGTACGTCTTCGCCGTGGCCACTGTAGACACAAACGTTATCAGCGCTATTCTTTTGGTGGTCGCCTTTTCTTTCCTTTTCCAATTCACGAATATCCCAGCAAAGAAGGCCCGCTTCAAGTTTCTACGCGGTTATGTCATTACGGTTGTTTTTCTCCTCGTGATATTTCAGGCTCCTTTTGAAAGATCCGGCGATGGTGGATGGGAAGATATTCTAGGCCTCTACAGGGACGATACGGAACAAGGACAAACCATGCTGTATTTGCTGGTATCGCTGTGGATTGTTTGTCAGGTTCAGGGTCGCATCTATGAAAGTCGAGATTTTCAGTACGTGGAGAGATACGGTCATGAAGACGCCAAGGTACGATTCAAGCGAGCTGTCCATGAACATAACGGCCGAAAATATGATAAGCTACTTGACCGAAACAAGGCGGAGCGCTCTAACAACGCAAGGAAAGCCAGACTTACCCGTTTAAAAGCACTGAAAGAATCAGAGAAGACGGTTGATGCCTTTTACAACGTATGTGTTGTTCATGAGATTGAATTTCTTCGCAAACAAGCCAAAGCGGCTGAAGCGAGCGCATCCAAGTTCTCTTCACATTGCCAAACTGAGACCCCAGAAGATGATGAGCAACTGCCCCAGGGGACAAATCGACTATTTAGGAAGTTGCTACGTGGTAAGCGGTGGAAACATTACATCTCCCAGACGCTTTCGGCGGAAATGAAAGCGTTTATATTTCGGTACTCGGCCTGGCCAGTGTATGGAACTATGGTGTTTGCAGCAATCATCAATCCCAGTATCACTACTATTGCTTATCCCCTGGTTGTGTTTCTATATCTGATTGTTGAGCAGCCGAGGCCACCGAAACATGCTTGGACTGCTCTGATGGTATATGTGTGCTGCGTCATCATGTTCAAATATGGTTTCCGAAGCCGATACATACCTTTTTGCAGCTCAGGCGTGCCCTTTTTTGAGATCGCAGCTGATCAATCTGAGCCAAGCTTACAAAATTTCACAGACTGTGCACCTGCTGCCGGGATTGGCTTTGATATTTTTATTCTACTCGCGCTTTTGGGTCACCGAGCTGTTTTGTATTCACGTGGTGTGTGGGACCTGGTGATGTCTGAGGAAGACATGCTGCTTAGAAGTGAAATCAGGGGACACGAGTTGGATACATCTCCAGAAATGAGTTGCAGCGTTGAATCGCGTTCTACTTTTGAGGGAAGCAATAGCAGTCAAGGCAGTGTCACTGATGAGAACGGAATTGTGGAACATACTTGGACTGCCGTGCAGCAATGCGACGATGTGGAACATGTACTAAGTCAAGCCAGAAGAGATATCGTTGGTGATGTAAGGGGTCAAGTGAAAATTACCAACCGGGAACAGGCGGGGCAGACAGCCGATCATTTCAAAGGGACACTGAAAAATGAAAACTTTCGCTCCAAGCCGTCTCCTTCTCCCAGTGCCTCTAGGGTGATTGCGCGTGCGCGATATGGCAAGAGCCCACTCGGAGACAGGAGCGGCAACATGGACATGTTACGACATAGAGCCGCAGCTGTTCGGCATGTTCGAGAGCCTGAACAAAGTAGAAATAAGTCACGTCAAAGGACAGGGGACATCAGCTTGTTCCCAATGTCTGCGCCACCGCCGACGGGTGCCATTAGAGGTACCGACCCTCGAAGTATTCCATCTCCACAAGAGTCCGAACTCCACCGAGTTCATCAACACTTGCAAAGATTTCGATCTCTTCGAATGGGTGTGCACAAAATTGACGGCTCCTTTCCGCCGACCCCTGCTGCCATGACATCTGGTCAGTCCCGTGTGCAGCAGTCTCTCGCACAAGCAAGGATTATTCCTGAATCTTCTCAGGGAAGAAACCTTACCCTATTTCATGATGAGCAGAAGGGAGTACTTTCGAGTCTGCGTCAATACTTTGTACGAATGACTCGAGAAAACGACCATAAGGCTGTGGGTGACTACTACTTGATGATCTTCATTGTTGATTTCATTTCGTTTGTTTATGTAATGTTTGGATACTCTGTAATCTTTGGAGACTCAACCTCTGGGAGAGAAGAGACGTGGTGGACTACTAACTTCATTGAAACCGGGCATCTACTCACTTTGTTGGCGATGTTCACGCTGATTATCCTCGATCGAATTTGCTACCTCACAAGAAGTATGACTGGAAAATTAGTTTTGCACTACTCATCCGTGATCGGTTACCACATTGTTCTATTTGTCGTTGAGGATCACATTGGCGAGCGAATCGCGACCCAGATATTCTACATTCTGAGGTGTATTTATTTTCTGCTCAGCGGCCTTCAAATTCGAGATGGATTTCCGATGTACACTACAGCACAGTTCTTGTTGAGAAACTACACTACTCTTGGCATCGTGTTATTTGAAATATACATTTTTGTGCCATTCTTGTGGCTGTCAAGAACTTTACTGGATTGGGCTGTCTTGCCAACCTCCCTGGAGATTTTTCAGTACTTCAGGTTCATCGACATTTATTTATGGTTGTACCGTAATCGGACCGTGAATGCTTCGCGCGGTGCTTTCAGGAGAAGGCTTGGTGAGAAAAGGCGTCTACTACCGCGAGTCTATCAAGGATTTGGTTTGTTCTTGTTGTGTGTAATCGCCTTGTTTCTTCCTTTCATCATTTTCAGCATCTTCAACCCGTTTGTGGTCGGACGTGAATTAAACGACGCCCAAGTTACCGTCAATCTGGTCACGTTTGAAGGGTCGTCAGTTTCTGGAGGGAAAACATATGAGATATTCTCCAGGACCTCAGCAGTTGGAGAGGCACTTGATCGTGACCAAAGCTCCGAGGCTGCAGGAGCTATCGGTGTTGTACTTGACGTAAGGGAAAGAGAAAAGATATTTGAGGCTTTATTCAGCGCTGTTTCTGGGAACACTTGGCAAGTACCTGACGAGGATGAAAAGGACCTGGTCATGTCACTGCAGACGTACTCGACCGGAAATGGCACCGGGGCCCCTCCTCTCTTAGACTTCTCCCTCACGGCAACTACGCAGGATCGAATGACGTTTGGAACTCTGGGCAGGCAGCATACGTATGAGTTGGAAGAGTCCCAGGCCGCGCAAATTGCAATCGCTCTATCTGAAAAGTTCGACTTCGCCATGAAAATTCGTGCCCCGTTGCCAAGATATTCCATTTTACAGTCTGGTGCAGGTGCTTTTCGATCGTATTCAGGCCAAGAGGGTTTCGGAGATGTTTGCATTCGCCTTTTCCAGCAGACTGGTTCTCCAGATGTCGGACTCTCTTTTTGGACAATGAGTGACGCGAGTAGGGAAGCATCTGCATGCACAAACACTACTCCTTTTGAGGAAACAGATTCTCGAAGGCGGCACCTCCTCCAGATTGCTGATATTTCCAATTTGCAAGTAGGGGGTGCAACGATTTTAACATTGTATACGGCCATATTGTTCACGATTGCAAATCTTTTGAAGCGAATGTTCATTGACAAGCGTCTAATAATCCCTTACATTGACATGCCATATACACTGCATCTCTACCAACTAGCCTTGGACATAATGTATGCTCGACAAGATAACCAACTGGAGATGGAAGAGATACTATACAATGGATTGATCGATATCTACCGCGATCAGCACGAGCTGGTACGTTGGACAGGGGAACGTGCCTTGAAGCTACCTGAAGCCTGGTGGGACAGTTCAGAGGTGGATAACCCGTTCATGGTGTATCCTTCGTTCAGCGAAACAGCAGCCGAACCTTACATTGACCGCATTGTAGAATAGGATGTTTTGCTCCTTGAATGTTGAATACTGTAGCAGTACTAATCCGGCCCTGCCCGTTGTTTGCGTCACTGGCACTCTCTAGCTCTAGAGATAGAGAACACTGCCAGTACATTCATCTACATTTATTGTACAGCACCAAATGTAAAAAGAACATCATATTTATGAATGCTATTCACTATCCTCGCATTTGAACACAACTGCCATATTCTGAGATCACAAACAGCACAGCGTTTGGAGGGCGGTGTGGGAAGAGAGACTTCGGTTCTTGGTTTTGGGAGGGACATGACGTGGAACGTGGAAGAGATGGGGGCCGATTTCTGTTTGGCTTTTGTTCCAGTGCTTTAACCGTTGTAAATAGATAGTGTTAGCAGGCTCCCCCAAACATATCCTTTTCCTGTCTTATAGACTGGCTGTAGGCTCTAATCGCTTTTCTATGCTTCTAACAAGACCGCCGAAAATATGCTGGCTTATCTCCAATGCAGTGAAGTGTTTTCGCCTGGAACCATTGCCATTGCCAAAGAAGAGTTTTGCTTCGCCATAGACGATATAACACAGAAGCACTGCTGAGCTGTTCGGTGCACACACATGCGCACTTTCGCGTGCACGCATCAGCACTTGATCCGTCTATCCACAGAAGAAACGCCTCACGACAGCGATGACTGCTGTATCCAACCGCGAGAGATCATGGGATCCACCTATCCACGGTCATTTCTGAGACCTTAACGACCTTAAAAGCCGTCTGAAAACTCTTCGTGATATCGACATCTTCGCTCTGACTGATTCTAGCTATGACAAGCGTCTTCGCAACATTCTTCACTAATCTGAGACGATTCTGCAAGCGAACCCAACTGCGATCAAAAAGTTTTGCTCCCCCCACCTCTACCTTCCTGCTCCCCGCCTTCCGCCCCGTATCATCTTGCAAAACGACGCAATAAGGCGAATGCGAATGCCTCTTCGACGTGGCCGGATAGAGTACCCAATCCACGCCATACTTAATGCCCGACCTGGGTAGCCACCCGACTGCCCTGTACCGACAATACGCGACAAACCTTGCCGGAAACGACGGCGCGCGCTCACAAAAGACTTGCCACGCCCTCTGCGGGTCCACCAAGTCTCCTTCCGGGCCCGCAACAACAAGGCAATTGAGCACAAACGAGCAGTAAAAGGCCTCGACCAAGGTGAGCTGCACATGCTCGACATGGTCCCCTTCCTCGCGGCGCTCGGCGCCCTTCGCGCGGTCCTCCATGGCGAGCATCTGGCGCATGGCGCGTCCCTTGAGCGCGGCGTCCGGCGCGTCGTCAGGCGCGTCGTACGACGGGACGGAGCGCGACAGGTTGGCCTTCCCGCACGGGCCGACGGCGCGCCAGAACGCGGCGACGTGGCGGCGGCCCAAG